GGAGCGCCGTTCCTGAGTCAATTGCGCGGAAATGTCAAGCAGGAGCGGGGGTCCTGAGTAAAATTCGAAGAAGTCTCAGGCGGGAGCGCCGTTCCCACGTAAATTGCACGGAAGTCTCAGGCGGGGGCGGGGGTCTTGATTACATTGCGAGGAAGTCTCAAACGGGAGCGCCTTTCCTGAGTAAATTGCGCGGAAGTCTCAGGCGGGAGCGGGGGTCCTGAGTAAAAATCGAAGAAGTCTCAGGCGGGAGCCGTTGTTGTTGTAGCCCGGGGGGCAGGGGCACAGTTTGAGCAGGAAGACTTTCCTTGAGAAAAAACAAGGTGCGAGTCCCGGGGCTGGCACTTCAATCGAAAAAAATCAATGTGCACCGGTGGGGGGGATCAACAATAATTATTCTTCAAGAATGAGAGTTCAACAACAACAGCAACAACAACAACATCATCATCATCATCATCAGCAGCAGCAGCCGCATCCTCGTCGCCATCATCATCATCATCATCAGCATCATCAATCATCGTCATCATCATCCGCATCATCTGCAGCAGCATCATCGTCATCAGCATCATAATCATCATCATCATCATCATCATCATCATCATCATCATCAGCATCGTCATCGTCATCGTCATCATCATCATCATCATCATCATCATCATCATCATCAGCAGCAGCAGCAGCAGCATCATCCAATTCCATCTCCTCCTCCTCCTCCTCCTCCTCCTCCTCCTCTTCATCTTCCTCCTCCTCCTCCGCTTCCACTTCCCCCTTCTCCTCCTCCTCCTCCTCCTCCTCCTCCTCCTCCTCCTCATCCTCATCCTCCGCCTCCTCCTCCTCAAGCCCCCCCCCCCATCCCCCTCCTACTCCTCCTGTTCGTCCTCCTCCTCCTCCTAGTCCTCCTCCTCCTCCTTCTCCTCCTCCCCCTCCTCCTCCACATGTTCCTCCTCCTCCTCCTCCGCCTCCTCCTGCTCCTCTTGCTCCTCCTTCTCCGCCGCCTCCTCCTCCTCGTCTTCATCGTCCTCCTCCTCCTCTCCCTCCTCCTCCTCCGCCTCTTCCTCTCTTCATGTTCCTTCTCCGTTTCCGCGCATCTCATCAGCATCATCTCCTCATCTTCCTCTTGTCCCGTCCTCGTGTCCTCCTCCTCCTCGACATCATACCTCTCCTCCTCCTCATCATCATCATCAGCAGCATCAGCATCGTTCATTCATCATCACATCTTCCATCATCATCATATCTTCTTATTATCATCTTCATCGCATCATTATCCTCATCTCATCATCGTCATCGTCTTCGTTCTATCATCAGCATCATCATCATCATGTCGCATGCATCATGTATTATCTCCTCATCATCTATCTATCATCATCATCATATCCATCATCATCATCTTCATGGCATCATCATCATATCAGCATTCATAAATACAAAGCATCGCATCATCATCAACTTTACTAATCACCATCATCAGCATCATCATCATCATCAGCATCATCATCATCTCTCATCTATCATCCATCATCATCATCTTCTCATCATTCATCATCATCATCATCATCATCAGCAGTAGCATCATCCTTTCATTATCAGCATCATCAGCATCAACAATCATCCTCACTTCATATCATCCTCTCCTCCTCCTTCCGCCTCGCTCTGTCTCCGCTCCGCCTCCGCCGCCGCCTCCTCCTCCTCGTCCATCCTCTCCTCTTCCTCGGCCTCTCTCCTCGTTCGTCTCAGCCATCAGTCGTCTTCTCCTCTCACCGCCTCCTCCTCCTCATCCTCCTCCTGTCTCCTCCTCCTCCTCGCCTCTCATCCTCCCCGCCTCCTCCTCCTCCTTCCTCCTCCTCTCCTCCTTCCTTTCCCCCTCCTCTCCTCCCCTCCCCCTCCCCCTCCCCTTCCCCTCCCTCCTCTCTCTCCTCCTCCATTTCCTCCCTCTCCTCGTGCTCCTCCTCATCATCCTGCCATCCTCATCCTCATCCTCATCCTCCTCGTCCGCCTCCGCCTCCTCCTCCTCCTCCTCCTCATCGTCATCCTCATCCTCATCCTCGTCCTCCTCCTCCTCCTCCTCATCCTTCTCCTCCTCATCCTCATCCTCCTCGTCCTCAACCCCTCCTCTGCCCGCTAATCTTCCTGCTCCCCCCCCCCCCTCTCTCTCATGGCGCGCCCGCGCGCGGCGGAGGCCCCCTGGCCTCCTCCCAGAGGCACAGCAGGGGATCCGACCTTTGGCGCCCGCGCCGGGGAAAGGGAGGAGGAGGATGGGGGCAGGAGGCAGGAACAGGCTGGCGAGGGACGGGGAAAAAGGGGGGAGGAGAAGGGAGGAGGAGGAGGAGGAGGAGGAGGAGGAGGAGGAGGAGGAGGAGGAAGGGAGGAGGATGGAAGGAGGAGGAAGAGGATGAGGAGGAGCAGGAGGAGGGAATGAGGAAGAGAAGGGCGAGGAGGAGGTGGGAGACAGAGGAGGACGATCAGGAGAGGAGGAGGAGGAGGAGGAGGAGGGCCGGGGCTCCGAGGCCCCCGCGCCCTCGCTTGAAGCGGAGGGGGGAGGAGGACGCGGGTGGAGGGCGGGGGGGGAGATGGAGGGAAATGGGGGGAGCAGGAGGCGATCAACGGCAACTGCTGCCAACGGCAGCCCTGTTAGCCACTGGAAGCATGACGCCCCGCACTCAGGGTTTCCCTCGAGGAAGAGGAGCATGCTACAAGACCGTGCGGCGAAGTGCAGCACATCGCACGATATGCGTCTCGACAAGGTGGCACACATGGTGCCACATATAGTAGTCGTGGTCGTGGTAGTGGAAGCAAGACTGATAGGAGAAGCGGTACCAGTCGTAATTAGTATTTGTAGTGGTGGTCTTAATTCTACCAATCATAACTTTTGTTGTTGCTGTTGTTGTTGTGCTGGTCGTTGTTGTTGATGTTGGTGTTGTTGTTCCCCATATCCACACTGGGGTGCTTGTTCTCAGGACACCCAGCGCAGGAACATGATGGAAGAAACACACCCTCTCCTCTCTCACACGCTGACACACTCGCATCATCATCACCACCTTACCATCACAACACCACTTACACGCTCATTCACACCAAGTCGACACCACTCACGAACACACTCACACCTACTCACTTGACTGATTCACTGACTCTGTCACAACTACTACTCATCATTCATCATCATCAGTATCACCATCATTATTCCCACAAGACTACCGCCATCAACGTCACTACCGCACATACACTCACTCACACACCCAGACACTCAGCTGGAGGAGGTCTCAGGCGGGAGCCTCGTCTATGAGCGAACACCACCACCATCACCCATCACCATCGGCACCATAATCACCCTGCACCCGCCACCATCGTCACCATCACCATCATCACCATCACCCATCACCATCGTCGTCATCATCGGAGGAAGTATGAGGCGGGAGCCTCGTCTGTGAGTGAATTGCGAGGAAGTCTCACGCGGGAGCTTACTCTTTATGGGGCCCGCGCTTCATGTTCGAATCCGAGGCGGGCCATCGGCTTCATGTGACCGTCGTCACTTCTGCGCTCCTGAAGCCTGAATGTGGAGGAAATGTGAGGCGGGAGCCTCGTCTGTGAGTGAACGGCGAAAACGTCTCAGGCAGGAGCCCCTTCCCTATGGGGCCCGCACTGAATATTCGAATCCGAAACTGGTCATAGGCATCTTGTAACACTCGTCACTTTTGGGCTCCCGAAACCTCAAATATGGAGGAAGTCTGAGGCGGGAGCCTCGTTTGTGAATGAACCACGAAAAAGTGCCAGGCCAAAGCCCCCTCCCTATGAGGCCCGCGCATCACGTTCGAATCCGATGCGGGTCATCGGCCTCGTGTGACGTCGCCACTTTTGGGATCCAGAGGCCTGAAAATAAAAGGAAGTATGAGGCGGGAGCCTCGTCTGTGAGCGAATTGCGAAGATCTCTCAAGCGGGATACCGTTCCCTATGGGGCCCGCGTTTCTATTCGAATCCGAGGCGGGTCATCGGCCTCCTGTAACAATCGTCACGCTTGGGCTCCTGACCTCAATTTGGAGGAAGTATGAGGCGGAAGATTCGTCTGTGAGTAAATCGCGAGGACGTTTCAGGTGGGAACCCCCGCCCTATGGGGCCTGCACTTCACGTTCAAATCCGAGGCGGGTCATCGGCCTCTTGTCACGGGCGTCGAGCTTGGGCTTCTGAACCTTGAACGTAGGAAGTATAGGGCGAGAGTCTCGTCTGTGAATTGCGGGAGCGTTTCAGGCGGGAGCCCCTTCTCTATGGGGCCCTCATGTTCGAATCCGAGGCGGGTCATCGGCCCCATGTAACCGTCGTCACTTTTGAGTTCCTGAGGCCTCAATATGAGACGGGAGCCTCGTTTGTGAGTAAATTGCGAGGACGTCTCAAGCGGGAGCCCCCCTCCCTCTAGGGCCGGTCCTTCACGTTCGAATCCGACGCGGGTCATCGGCCTCCTGTAACCGTCGTCACTTTCTGGCTCCTGAGGCCTAAATATGGAGGAAGTATAATGCGGGAGCCTCGTCTGTCAGTGAGTTGCAAGGAAGTTTCAGGCGGGAGACCCCTCTCTATGGGGGGCGCACCTCACATGCCTTCTCCGGGCCGTCCTCCAGCGCGCGTTTCCTCTGGGTCGTGCTCCGGCACGTAGCCGTTGAGACGCACGTCGCGCGTTTCCTCCAAGTCGTGTTCCGCACGAGGAAGAAGAGGAGGAGGCACAGGGGGGCCAGGACGATGAGTTGGAGGAGGAGGAAGAGAAACAATGCCCTAGGAGGCCCCAGGAGGCCCCGGGAGGCCCAGAGGGCTCCAGGAGGCCCCAGGAGGCCCCAGGAGGCCCCACGAGAAGGCAGAAGGGCTAAGGAGGAGGCAGGAGGAGGAGAAGGAGGAGGAGGAGGAGGAGGAGGAGGAAGAGAGGGGGAGGAGGAGGAGGAGGCGGAGGAGAGGGAGGAAGATGGAGACGAGGAGGAGGAAGAGAGGAGGAGGGGGAGGGAGAGGAAGAGGAGGAGGAGGGATAGGGAAAGGAGGAGGAAAAAAGGAGGAGGTGGTGGAGGAGGCAAGAGGAGGAGGAGGAGGAGGAGGAGGAGGAGGAGGAGGAGGAGGAGGAAGCAGGGGTTGAGGCAGGAGGAGGATCAGGCAGGAGGAGGAGAAGGACGAGGCAGCAGTAGGTGGGAGAAGGGAGGGGGCAGCAGGCAAGTCAAGAAATATTATCATGTAGTAGGCTCCTACCGTCGGAACACCTCTTGCTGCTGAAATTATAGACGTCGTAGCCGTCGCCGTGGTAGTAGTCGCACGAGTAGTAGTAGTAGTAGTAGTAGTAGTAGTAGTAGTAGTAGTAGTAGTAGTAGTAGTAGTAGTAGTAGTAGTAGTAGTGGTAGTAGTGATAGTAGTGGTCGTAGTAGTAGTAGTAGTAGTAGCAGTAGTAGCAGTAGTAGCAGTAGTAGCAGTAGTAGTAGTAGTAGTAGTAGTAGTAGTAGTAATGGTAGTAGTAGTAGTAGTAGTAGTAGTAGTAGTAGTAGCAGTAGTAGTAGTAGCAGTAGTAGTGGTGGTGGTAGTGGTAGTAGTAGCAGCAGTAGCAGTAGTACCAATAGCTATAGTACTAGTCGCAGCGGATGGGATAGAAGTGCTAGTAGTCGTAGTAGTAGTCGTAGTAGTAGTAGTAGTAGTAGTAGTAGTAGTAGGCATGGGACTCCCGTGGGCCACTCTCTTGGCCAAATTTCATGGTGGGTTGCTCTTGCTCCTGCTCTTCCTGTTTGTCTGCATGCATGTCCTCCTCTTTGTTTGCATTGCATTGCATTGCAGACGCATAGCGTTGCAATCGCACTCTTCCCTCCCATCCTCGCAACAGGACCCCTTTGGAAAACATTCCAAAGGGATTCCAGTGGAACGCCTCACAGCAGGAATCCTTTGGAAACCGCAACAAAGGGATTCGATTGGAAAGCGCCACACAGGGATGTGGGAAGCGAAAAACCAAAAAAACACAAGGAAAAACCAAAAAAACCAAAGAAACCAAACACCAACAGCCGAAAAACCAAAAAAACACAAGGAAAAACCAAAAAAAACAAAAAAACCAAAGTTTACAACACTTTCGCTGTCAGGGCGGTGGGGGTGGACGAAGTATCGAAATCTTTGTTTTTTTTGGTTTTTTTGGTTTTTCCTTGTGTTTTTTTGGTTTTTCGGCTGTTGGTGTTTGGTTTCTTTGGTTTTTTTGGTTTTTCCTTGTGTTTTTTTTGGTTTTTCGCTTCCGCCACCCCTCCCCCTGGGGAGCGGGCGGCTCCAGGAGGCCCCAGGAGGCCCCAGAGAGGCCCCAGAGAGGCCCCAGGAGACCCCTGGAGGAGACCCAGGAGGGAACCCAGGGGCATCGCAAATTCAATGTCCCTTCGATGCCCCTCCCCTCTCCTCACCTCTCTCTCCCTCAACCAAGTTTTCTGGTTACCCTCTCTTTCGTGCCCGCCATCCCCTTCCCGCGACGGCAGCAGACTCAAGGCCCAGCTGGTTGCTGAGGATGGGTGCCTTTCGGGTGCCTTGCGGGTGCCTTGCGGGTGCCTTAGCAATTAGCGGAGTGCATTGCGAGTATACACGTGCCGCGCAACTCCCCAAATATACCATTCAGAAGGGGGAAACGCTCGAGAATTTTTTTTTGGGGTTTTTTTGTTGTTGCCGTTGCATATGAACGGAAAGCGAAGCATTTCTCGTTAAGTGCAAAAATCAGATTTGAAGAAGTATCATAATCATTATGACGTTGTGCATTTTTACTATCGGCGTCGACCCCCGAATTCTGAGGATGGGTGCCTTTCGGGTGCCTTGCGGGTGCCCTTCGGGTGCCTTTCGGGTGCCTTGCGGGTGCCCTCCGGGTGTTTTTCGGGAGCCGTGCGGGAGCACTTCGGGTGCTCTTCGGCCGTCTTCGGGTACCTTTCGGTAGCCAGCAAGGGGCTTGGGAGGAGGCGGAAGAGAAACCCAGGATCCCAAGAGGAACCTAGGAACCCAGGAGGAACCGAGGAACCCAGGAACCCAGGAGGAACCCAGGAACCCAGGAGAAATCCAGGAACACAGGAGGAACCCAGGAACCCAGGAACCTTGGAGGAACCCAGGAAACCAAAAGAAACCCAGGAGGAACCCAGGAACCCAGGAGGAACCCAGGAACCCAGGAGGAACCCAGGAACCCAGGAGGAACCAAGGAACCCAGGAACCCAGGAGGAACCCAGGAACCCAGGAGAAATCCAGGAACACAGGAGGAACCCAGGAATCCAGGAACCTTGGAGGAACCCAAGAAACCAAGAGAAACGCAGGAGGAACCCAGGAACCCAGGAGGAACCCAGGAACCCAGGAGGAATCCAGGAACCCAGGAGGAACCGAGGAACCCAGGAACCTAGGAACCCAGGAGGAACCCAGGAACCCAGGAACCCAGGAGAAACCCAGGAACACAGGAGTAATCCAGGAATCCAGGAATCTTGGAGGAACCCAGCGTTTCCTGACCCCCCTCGCTGCTCGTAGCTGTTTGGGCCCAATCGCAACGCCGAGCGTGCGCCTTCTGGCAAACCCTCAGCGTCATTCAAGACCGCGGCATGGCCGCTTACGAGGACCTGAAATCGGCGACCGAGGGCTGGTATTGCCGCCCTCTTCCTGCACCAATGGTAACGGGCGTGCTGCCCCGTGGAGAAATCGAGCCTTTTCTCGAACTCACGGACGACATCGGGGCCAACGAGAACCCACTGGTGCACTACATTGATTTCATCACGGGGCATAGAGACCCAGTCCCCCCCGAGCTCGACGAGCAATACAAGGCGGCCTGGAAGGACGACAGCTACCACAATCTGCCGCCACCGTTCGGGTTCAAGACGGCGCCGCAACACCACATGACGCTGCAGATTTGTATCCTTGACGCCCCCGACGGCACGAAGACCATAATCAAACACTGCGTCATCCCCAACAAGGCGAAGACGGCCGTCTTCGCCAGCATGGCTTTCGGGAGCGTCAAGAAGCTCTGCTTCCAGCATCCCAAGGTGCACGATTGGGGAAACAAAAGGGTGGCGAGGGCGCGGCGCCCTCGCCATTTTGTTTTTTCGATCGCGCCGCCAGGTGGGGGTCAAGGTCTGGCAATACGCCTTCGAGCGGTTCGGAGGCAAACAGTGTCGGGCTTTCTTCTTATCGCCAGACGTCAAGACGGCCACCAAGGTGAACGAGTTCTACGAGCTCTCGGACGAGGATATAAACGCTGGCTTCGAATACATCCTGAAGAACGCGCCTCGCTCCACGGCCGAGCTCAAGCAGCTGGTATGGCAGACGAAGGCGCTACGCAAAGGCGCCCCCCTCTACGGCTGGCCCGCCCCCCTGGTGGCGAAGGCGTTGAGCGGGCTCGCGGCGGAGGGCGCGCTTGCAAAGAAGGAGTTCGAAAACAACGTGATCCTCTGCGAGGACCACTTCAACCTTCGCGTTCTCGAAGCCATGCAGGAGCTGATCAACAGCAACGATTCGCTTGTCCTCATTGGGGAGCCCAACATCGGCAAGACGCCGCTCGGGCGCGCATTCCTGATGGCAATGTGCCGCAGGAACGCGCGGGTCCACGGATTGGACCCCGCGGGTTGTTGCATCCGCGTCACGCCTGAGATCGATTTCTTGCGAGGCGAGCCCGGCGACATTCTCATGGGGGACTTTGTGGACGATGGCTGCTTGAATCTCCTCCCGCCCAAGATGGTGAAGGCCTTGCTCGACGTCGGCCAGTACGAGAGCATGTGCTGGGCCAGGTGGGGCGCAACGAAATGGAAGAAGGGGGAGCCTCGGTGCTTGGCGGACCAGACTTACGATCCGAATGCCGAGAAGCTGGACCGCTGGCCCTCCGTGAAGTTCCAGGAATTCTTCGAGCTCGTGCGCCCTGCCTTCTCCGAGAAGGCGACCCGCGCATGCATGCTGGCTTTCTTCAAGCGTTCTGCGTTTCTGGTGAATACCCAGGAATACCTCTACTGGCGCCCAGCAGGCACTGAGGAGAAAGATGTTCCGCGCATTAACTTCAAGGGCGAGACCTTCCTGACGGCCGAGGGGAAGCGCCTGTACCTACTGCAGAAGGACGGCGACATGACCCCGCCCGCCAATATCCAGCAGCTCTTGGAGAAGGAGCGGCTCCTCGTGGACTCCGCCGTGGAGAAGAACCGCAAGAAGTCCTCAGACGCGGCCCTCGGTTCTTTGCCAGCCCCGTCGTTCGCCCAGGTTTGGGGGTTCAAAGATGCGGCCCTGCGGGGCGGGGTCCTAGGGCTGAGGGGGCACTTCAACGCGTTCTGAACGCTGAAACGCTGCCTCGGCCTTGGCGGACATCATCTTTGAGCCCCTCCCGACAGGTGAAGCGAGAGCGCGTGTCCCCTGAGCGCCTGACGTTTCGGAAGCGCCTGCTCTCGGGGATGACGCTCAATGTCGACAGCCCGTCCCCCGCCAAGCAACATGCCGCGGCGTCGTCCACTGCATCTGGGCCCGCGGCCCCGCCCCGCGACGATCTCGAGGTCCAGCTCTCGCAGATGCTGGCCGAGGAGGGGGCGCCCGCTGTGCCTGCGATGCCCTCGGCTGCGGAGGAGGACGAGGCGCACGCTTTCCTCGGTTCTCAGAGTCAGGAGTGAGCGGGCGGCCGCGAGAGCGCGGGCGGGCAGGTGCGGCGCGCGGGTTTCGCGGGCAGCGATGGCACCCTCAGCTCGGGCGCTGATGCCGCGCGCGCTGCCGAGGTGGCGCGCGCCGCTGCGCCCCAGATGAGCTGGGGGCGCGCGCCGCCAACATGTTGTGTCTTGATAGGGTTATCCACAAGTACCGCGCGTTATCATGCCATTTTCTTTTGCCGTTCTAAGAAATCCAGCCGCCCCCGCAGACGTCGTCGTCGTCGCCGCCGCCGCCGCCATCGCCGTCCATCCGGTATGGTTGCTGTCATCGCCGCAGCCGTTTCTTGGCCGAATCGGCAGCCAGAGCCGCGGGTGCCCGCGCCTCTCGCGCACTGCCTCGCCCGTGCTATCGCGCCTGGAGCCAGGGATGACCGTCCACCGTCGCCCCGCCGCCTCCGAGGCCAGGGGTCGAAGCCGCGCGCGAGGGCAGCGCTTCCCCCAGAAGCGTCGCAACAAGCGGTCGGTGCAGGCCGCCTCGCGCCGCCGCGACATTTTGGCCAAGGCGCGGAAGGCGCGCAAGGCGGCCCAGGCCAAACGCAAGCGCTTGGAAGCCACGGGCGTGTTCTACACGCCCAAGCGCCAGCGGGTGTCCCGCGTGCGGCGCGGCAGGTCTTCCTTAGCCAAGATCTACACGTACGAGGACCTCAGGGCTCTGAAGACCAAGGATGCTTACGACTTGATGGTCCAGGCGGGGTACCTCGGCGACCCCTCCGAGAACGTTTGCCCCAGGTGCGGATGGCCATTGGGTTCGGTGATTCACAGGGGCGAGAAGCGGCATCCAGTCCAGAGGTGTCAGCGCAAGGCCTGCTCGTCGTCCTCGGTGCAGGTGAAGGTCACGAGCGGCACGTGGGCGGATGTGGAAGTGCCTCTCCCGAAGCTGGCGGGCGTCGCCTTCCTGTCGTGCGGCGCCCTGACGTCCCGCATGAGTACAGCCGACATGGCGCTGATTGCCAAGATGGGCCACAAGCAGTGCGAGGCGGTCAGGCAGAGTTTGCTGGAGATCGTCTCGGCTGCTTCGAGGGAAGAGCAGAAGTCGATCGTGCTGAGCGGCCAGTGCGAGACCGACGCCACGACCCTGCGGGTCGTCCAGCTCAAGAACGGGCGCTACATGCACATCCGCGTGTTCGGCATGTGCAAGCGCGGAGACCACGAACACGCCGTCGTGCACATGCTGCCGCCCTTCTATGCGGTCCGTGGCGGCCCGACGCGCCCCGAGAGCACGGATGAGACCGCGCCGCTGATCTCAGCTCACACGGGGGCCGACGTGCTGATCTGGCACACAGACGGAGCGCGGTGCTACCGCCGCCTCGAGAACCACACGAAGGTCAAGCACGCCAAGCGCATCTGGGCGACTGTCAAGACGCTGACCCTGAGCGGGGGCGACGTCCTGTGCTGCTACGGCGGGACGCAGCTCCAGGACGGGCTGTGGTCGCACGTGAAGAACGTCGTCCCAACCACGATGAACACGTACAGCAAGGAGTCGCAGGCGCAGCTCGAGAACTGGGTGCACTTCTGGGCGTGGCGCTACAGGCGCGCCAGCTGTCCAGATATGTTTCTCGAGCTCGGCTCGGCCGTCGCCATGGCCAGGTTGAAGGGCCACGTCTGGTGAGAACCTGCCTGTGCGCTAGAGGGGGCCGCATGTGTAAATAATCGCCATCGGCCGAGAGGACAGGGGGGGGGGAACCTGTCTGGCGAGGACCGCGGATAAAAAATAATCGTCAGCGGCCGAGAGAGAGAGAGAGAGAGAGAGAGAGGGAGAGAGAGAGATGGATATACGGAGCACGGAATAGAAGAGAGAGAAAGATATACAGAGAGAACGAGAGAGAGAGAGAGAGAGGGAGGGGGAGAGGCGCCATGAAATTTGGCCAAGAGAGTGGCCCACGGGAGTCCCACGGCTATAGTAGTAGTAGCAGTAGCAGTAGTAGTAGTAGTAGTAGTAGTAGTAGTAGTAAAAGTAGCAGTAGCAGTAGCAGTAGCAGTAGCAGTAGCATGTATCAGAAGTAGTAGCAGTAGCAGTTTGAGTAGTAGTAGTAGTAGAAGTAGTAGTAGTAGTAGTAGTAGTAGTAGTAGTGGCCGTAGTATTAGCATTAGTAGTAGACCCCGTCGTAGCAGTAGTAGTAGTAGTGGAAGTAGAAGTAGTACTAGTATGAATAGTCGTAGTCGTAGTCGTAGTCGTAGAAGTAGTAGTAGTAGTAGTAGTAGTAGCACTAGTACTAGTAGTAGTAGTAGTAGTAGTAGTAAAAGTAGCAGTAGCAGTAGCAGTAGCAGTAGCAGTAGCATGTATCAGAAGTAGTAGCAGTAGCAGTTTGAGTAGTAGTAGTAGTAGAAGTAGTAGTAGTAGTAGTAGTAGTAGTAGTAGTGGCCGTAGTATTAGCATTAGTAGTAGACCCCGTCGTAGCAGTAGTAGTAGTAGTGGAAGTAGAAGTAGTACTAGTATGAATAGTCGTAGTCGTAGTCGTAGTCGTAGAAGTAGTAGTAGTAGTAGTAGTAGTAGCACTAGTACTAGTAGTGGTAGTAGTAGTAGTACTTGCAGTAGTCGCAGTTGAACGCATTAACGTAGTAGTAGTCGTAGAAGTGGAAGTAGTAGTAGTAGTAGTAGAAGAAATAGTAGCCATCGTAGAAGTCGTCGTAGTTGTAGTAGTACTGGTAGCCGCAGTAGTGCTGGTAGCAGGAGTAGTAGCAGTAGTCGCCGTCGTAGTAGTAGTAGTACTAGTCGGAGTAGTAGTAGTAGTAGTAGTAGTAGTAGTAGTCGTCGTAGTAATAGCAGTAGTAGTAGTAGTAGTAGTCGTCGTAATAGTAATAGTAGTAGTAGTAGTAGTAGTAGTAGTAGTAGTAGTAGTAGTAGTAGTAGTAGTAGCGAAAGTAGTAGTAGCCGTCGTCGTAGTATTAGTACTGGATTACTGCTGGTAGTAGTAGTAGTAATAGTCGTAGTAGTAGTAGTAGCAGTAGTAGTAGAGGTAGTAGAACTGGGAGTAATAGTAGTAGTAGTAGTAGTAGTCGAAGTAGTAGCAGTAGTGGTAGTAGTAGTAGTAGACTAATAGTATTCGTAGTAGTAGTAGTAGTAGTAGTAGTAGTAGTAGTAGTAGTAGTAGTACTAGTAGTAGACAGACAGACAAGGCTCTGGATACAGGAGGGAACTTTCTCGCGAATGTCAGCGCAATCGATCTCTATTTCTTTCGCCGAGCACCCGACGACACAATACACTGTTTTAGAAAGACTACAGCGAAAGCAAAACAGACGTCAGAGCGTGTTGCTTAAATCATGTTGTCTGTACAGCAAGACATCTAGACAATCAGTTTGCAATACCACGCGCAGCAAAAAATATTCACTGCGTGGAGCTCCCCATATGTGCATCTACTCGCATGGACCTGTCCGCCGTGAATGTCTAGGCGCAAGAGCTTTCGAATATTAACGGGCTTCAGTTGTGACGGTCTGGACATCAATCTAACTGCGAATGAATTGGAGTGTGAATGAGCCTCAGTAGTACGAGCGCGTCTCTGTGCATGAGCCTGGGGCCTCCTGGGGCCTCCTGAAACCTACTGGGGCTTCCTGGGGTCTCCAGGAGCCTCTTGGGACCTCCTGGGACCTCCTAGGAAGGTTTCGTGCCCCAGGGGAGGCGCAATCTATAGCAACAGACGTACATAAAACATTGCGGATTAGAGCCACAGGAGAAGGGCAATCTATAGGAACACGCGTAAAACACCAAGGACTCGTGCCCCAGGAGAGGCCCAATACATAGGAACATGAGTAAAACATTTAGGATTGTGTACACAGGAGAAGGACCATCTATAGAAACATACGTAGAACATCAAAGAATCGTGCTCCAGGTGAGGCCCAATCGATAGGAGCATACGTAAAACACATGGGATTGGAGCCACTCCTGTTGCCTTCTGAGGCCTCCTGCTCCTGGGGCCTCTCGGGGCCTCCTGTTGCCTTCCGAGGCCTCCTGGCGCTTCCTGTTGTCTCCTGGGGTCTCCTGTGGTTTCCTGAGGCCTTCTGGAGCTTCCTGGGGCCTCCTGGAGCCTCTTGGGACATCCTGTGGCCTCTTGAGTCTTTCTGTGGCCTCCTGATGCCTCCTGGGACCTCATGTGGTCTCCTGGAGCCTCCTGGAGCCTGTTGGAGCCTCCTGTGGCATCCTGAGAAGAATCTGCGCCCACGAGCCTGGCCACCAAAACTAGCAAACCGATCGAGACATCCTCAAAATCTGGCCCACCTGGGGGGTGAAAATGAGCGCCTCGCTCGAGACATCCTCCAAATCTGCTCCGAAAGCGAAGGATGTTGGGCACAGAAACAGGCAAACCGCCTGAGACATCCCCACAAAATGGCCGCGAACGAGCCCGTGCAACCACCCCTGGCGGCTCCCCTTAGGGGTGCTGAAATGAGCGCCTCGCTCGAGACATCCTCCAAATCTGCTCCGAAAGCGAAGGATGTTGGGCACAGAAACAGGCAAACCGCCTGAGACATCCCCACAAAATGGCCGCGAACGAGCCCGTGCAACCACCCCTGGCGGCTCCCCTTAGGGGTGCTGAGTATGAGTAAGTCTGTGTATGTGTACGTCTGGGTATGACTAATACTGTGTATGAGTAAGTCTGTGTATGAGTAAGTCTGTATATGAGTATGTCTTAGTGTGAGTAAGTCTGAGTATGAGTAGGTCTGAGTATGAGTAAGTCTGAGTATGAGTAAGTCTGTGTATGAGCAAGTCTGAGTATGTCCGACAGGAGGGGAGGAGAAAAGAGGAGGAGGAAGGAGAAGGAGTAGGAGGCGTCCAAGTAATAACAAGAACCCCATCTTAGGATATGGGGAACAAAGCATCTGCAGCATGTTTGGTTACATGTGTGTTGCAATGTTTCCTCATGTAGAGTGTCAAGCTAAAGCGCCGCCAAGGGGGTCCAGCGCCGCTCCGAAAAATCCGCGCGGACCTCCGAACATGTATCTGAATGATGTTGTTTCTTCCTCCGCAAACCGAAAAACGCTGTGGCTTTCATTACACAGACCCCCCAAGGCGTAGACCACTCAACTACGGCCCATGCTTCATCCCGAGCCGTTTTTGTTGACGGCCGCGGGGCCAGTCGGAGGCCCCCAGAGGGCGAAGATAGCCAAAAACCTTCCGACGAATTTTCTGCACGACGCGGGGAGGTCTGGCATGTCGGTCAAAACCAAAGTCCCTGGCATCTGGTAAGGACGATCCGGATACCCGCAGATCGCTCTGTGCGAAGCCCGGCTGCTGAAAAACACCCCGAGGCTGCATAACCTCCGGGACTACTGAAAAGCGCCCCGAGGCTGCTCAAAGACGCATGAAAACTCCGAGCCTCGATCCTTCGGGCATCCGATCTCGATCGTGCCCACTTTGATCGTAACGACCTCGAGGGTGTCAAACAAGCCGACGGCTCCGGCGCATTCTAGCGGTGAGTGAGAACGCTGGGGGGGACTGGTTCAGTGGGGGGGGACATCGACCTGAATGGGCGATACAGTAGAGGCCCGTCCACAAGAAACCTTCCACAAGAAACCCAACCCTGAGACCCCAGGGCGCCAATTGATTCTTGGTTGTGGGAACGTCACGCTTTCCATCGCAAAACCATCGAAACCTAAGAAACCCAGGGCACCCTGGAGGCGAGCAGGGCGTTTCTTGGCATGGGCCCCCCACTGCACATCGCCGATAGATCGGCGATAGGCCCCCGACGGCGAATCCCAGCGCTCCTAGGCGGCCAGGCCCCGATCAGCGACCAGTGGGCGTCGGGGGCGGATGCGCCCCCTCCCTGAGCCGATCCCCCACCCCTACCGCGGAGGCCTGCGAGGTATGGGAAACCCAGAGCTAAGACGGGCATGTCCCCCCACAAAGGGATTTGGGGCGACAAATTGTCGACCCCCAGAGGTCTGGACCCCTTCCACGGGACCAGTCTTTCGTCCTCAGTCGTTTTCTGACGGGCCCGGGGCCCAGCGAGGGCCCCTGGAGGCCGAAAGTCATGAAAAATCGCCCGTCGTGACTTGTTCACAACTCGAAGGGATCTGGGAACGTTGCCTGTGGAGGCGTCAGACGACGCTTATGTTGCCTCTTCGGGGGACCTTGTCTGTCCAATCGCGCCGCGATCCAAGCCGAATCCGTGTCGAGAACGTCACATCCGTGACGGATCCATGTCGAATCCGTGCCGAATCCACATCGACATCCGCGTCGTACCCACATCGGAATGAAGGAAAGACAGCCACCGACAGGACAGGAATCGGTGGCTCAGGGATGGGATCCTGAGGGATGGGGTCCTACGGATAGGGAGGGGTACGAGGGTGTGTTTACACTGTTGGAGGCACCGCGTCCGTAGGACCCCATCCCTCAGGACGCCATCGTTGAACCACCGAAGGAAGGTCCGTCGGAGATGCAAAAGAACGATGCCGGCGGCTCTGAGGAGCCTACGCGCCGGCAGCGGCTAGCGGGCACGGCGCCGTCCCGTCGACCGCGGCGCGGCGAGCAGGTGGACGCCCTCCCCTCCTCCCTCATCCTGCCTTCCTCCTCTGCCTCCTCCTCGTCCTCCTGCCTCATCCTCCTCCTTCTCCTCCTCCTCCCTCCTCGTGGGATGAAGCTCCCAGGAGGTCTTCGTCAAAACGATGAAGGGCGACCAAGCCCGGACTGGCAACTTTCTCGGATCAGGCCTTTCTCGGATGAAACTGGATTAAGTAGACTTACGTCGGAAGTAAGCAAGATTAACAATAATATTCAACGGAGTAGCCCAGGTTAAACCGATGATGCTGCGCGAACGAACCAGCGCCGATGCAGGATTAAACCTCCCAAGAGTTGCATCCTAGCTCCTCCTCCTCCTTCTCGGAGCTGGGGGGCGGACGCCCAGAACTCCGCCTCGACCAGTCGGGCCACCTCTGGCGCAAGAAGTGGGGAGATCAAAACATCTTCGAGGGAGGAGGAGGAGAAAGAGGAGAAAGAGGGTCGAGGTCTGTGGATGTTGTTCGCCCTTGCCGTGTCCCTGGGAGACTTCTCGCCACCACGGCTGCATTCGCCAATCGAGATTATGGCATATGGACGCAACTCATTCCTGGGGAGGTCCAGGGTCGGGCATGTGACCCGCGAGCCCGGAAAGAAGGAGGGAAGAGTACAAGTTTTAAAAGCATGCATTAACTTAGGTTAGTCTAAGGATTCGTATGTGAACTAAACATGTGCATATGTACATGTATGCGTGTATGTGTGGATACACGTATACATGTCTGTCTGTCTGCCTGCCTGACTGTCTGTCTGTCTCTGTCTGTTTGTCTGTCTGTCTGTGTCTGTAGATGCGTGTTTAGAGGCCTCCTAGATGGGGTCTGAGTAGATGGGGTCGGAGGATCGCGCCGCATCGCCGATACATCGGCAATACATCGGCGATGCATCGGCGATGCATCGGCGATGCACCGGCGATGCATTATCGACGTCGGCGATGCATCGGCGACGCCGACGCGAAGCAAATCGGGCTGCACATCGAGCCACATCGGCGATGCATCGGCGATGCGGCGCGATCCTCCGACCCCATCAACTCCGACCCCATCCAGGAGGCCTAGAGTGTTGCTATATATAATGCGTGTCGGCCCCAGGGAGCCTTGACCATAATCGCTGGGGACTGTCGGAAAACGATTCGAAATGAAGAACCTGCACGGGGGCAAGGGTCGAGACGTCCGGGCACGCCGTCATGAAAAACCAACCAAGTTCGGGTCTCTGCGAAGGAGATGGGCAAGGGAGGGAGGGAGACAAAAACGAGGGATGAAGGCGGGGGGACCTTCTGGCCAGTTCCGAGGAACAGACTTTCGCACAACGGCGGAGTCGAAGGATGAGGCGGGCGGAGGGATAAGGTAGCACAAAAGGCGGGAAGAAGGGAGGAATTGGACGGGAAGGAAGGAAGGAAGGAGGAGGGAGGGATAATGGAGCTGGAGGAGGGAAGAGGGATCAGGAGGGGGGCAGGGGATGGCATAGGGATGGGGATGGAAGGAAGCTACTCCTTGTCCTCATCCTCCTACTCCCCCCAGCACTCTTCAACGTCCTCCTCGTCCTCCAACTCCTCGCCTTCCCCATTGCCCTCCTCAGACACCTCAAATACACAGAAGACGCTTGCAGAGCGAACGGCCCCTGCCTGCATCCGGCAGGACCTACCTCGAGGCCAGAGCCCTCACTGCCACCCCGGGGACCTCGAGACACCCCCGAACTGTAAACGCTCCCCTCCTCGGACCCTGGGCTCGCTCCCGTGCCCTCCAAAGCCCGGGGGCGAACCACAAGAGTGAAGGCGCCCTGGGACACACAAATAAATAGACACAAATAGCAGGATGCCCCAAATTTTCCTACATTTTCTGTTTTTTTTTTTGTCTCCCCCCCCACTTCCCATATTTTCCCATGTTTTCTGGGGAATCGTCGATTCATTGAGTCTGTGCGTTCTTTCCCCTCCTGAAAGAAAGAGAAGCCCCTCCTCCTCCTCCTCCTCCTCCTCCTCCCCTCCTCCTCCTCCTCCTCCTCCTCCTCCTCCTCCTCCTCCTCCTCCTCCTCCTCCTCCTCCTCCTCCTCCTCCTCCTCCTCCTCCTCCCCCCCGAGTGGACGTTCGACCCGTGCCCGCGCCCCGCGACCCCGGGCGCCCCGGGGCGGCCCCGGCCAGACGAGCCGAGGCCCGAAGACGAGCCGACCGCGGACGGCACGCCGCGCCTGAAGTCGGGTCCGTCCCTCTGCAGGAGGAACATTCCAAAAATAGTCAAAAAGTAGTCTGGGGACTATTCTTTAATTTGACCATTTGGGAGTACGCTTTTTTAGCATTTCGTACTTTCGTCGACAATCCCCCTGTAGGGGGACACGCCCGACTTAATTAAGCCTCGGCCCTGGCCAGGCGAGCCGAGGCCCGAAGACGAGCCGACCGCGGAAGGCACGCCTCGCCTGAAGTCGGGTCCGTCCCTCTGCAGGAGGAATATTCACAAATAGTCCAAGAATAGTCTGGGGACTATTTTTTGACTTTTGTTTGACCAATTGGGAGTATGTTTTTAGTATTTCGCATTTTCGTCGAGGAACATTCAATAATAGTCAAAGAATAGTCTGGGGACTATTTTTTAATTTGACCATTTGGGAGAATTTGGTTAGTATTTTGCATTTGCGTCGGCAATCCCCCTGCAGGGGGACACGCCCGACTGAATTAAGCCTCGCCGAGATGGTGCATCTGCGTGCGGCCATAGGCCCCACAAGCCTTGCACACCACGATCGCCGCCTCCCTCCCGGCGGCGCTCCGCCCCGACCCGCGTCCAACCCCGCCGCGCAGGACCGGCAGCTCGCGGGAGGTCATGGGCGCTCGCCGGAGGCCCCTGGAACTCCGGGGACGGGCGATCACGATGGCTTACTACACGACACCAGAGCCCCCTGCGAGCCCCACGGGTCGCCCACCCCCAGGCCCCCCGCAGACGCGCCCAGGCATGCCTATGCGGGCCCGGGCCCGGGGACAGTCCCTGGGGCCGAGGGGCAGGGGGGACTCCGATCGGGCCGACCCGCACGCGCGACCCTTTTGAAGGACCGCGCTGTGGTGTAGCAAGAGGCCCACTGCCGCCTGCGAGGCGGCCTCCACGGCGCTCACGAGCTTCTCGGCCTCCTCCAACGGGCGCAGCCTGGCGCCCTCCTTGGCGCGCCTGTCCGCCGCCACATTGCCACGGAAGTGGTGGTGCGGTACTCCAGCGCGCTCAGCAGCAGCAGCAGCAGCAGCAGCAGCAGCAGCAGCAGCAGCATCAACTTCTCCTCCTGCTGATCGTCATTCTCCTTCTCCTCCTCCTTTCTCCCTCACTATATTCCCCTTCCTCCTCCCCCGCCTCCTCCGCCACCTCCTCCCTCCTCCGCCTGCCGCTGCCCCGCCGAGCCGGATCGCATCGAGGCCTCCCCACCTCCTCGCCCTCCTCCTGAGGAGGCAAGGAGTATGAAGAGGGCGAGGAGGATAAGGAAGCAGACGAGGAGGACGGAGCACTCCCGCCCGCACCTCGTCGAGCCGGCGAGACTCGAGGCCCTCCACGCGGTCGAGCTGCCGCTGCACGCGGTCCAGCCAGTCCGCCACGCGCAGCGCGCAGGTCCGCACCATGCCTCGAGCGGCCCGGAGTTGCTGCCCCGTCGTCGTCGTCGTCGTCGTCGTCGCCGTCGCCGTCGCCGTCGCCGTCGCCGTCGCCGTCGCCGTCGCCGTCGCCGTCGCCGTCGCCGTCGTCGTCGTCGCCGTCGTCGTCGTCGTCGTCGTCGTCGTCGTCGTCGTCGTCGTCGTCGTCGTCGTCGTCGTCGTCGTCGTCGTCGTCGTTGTCGTCGTCGTCGTCGTCGTCGTCGCCTGCAACGGCGGTGGCCACGACACGCCAGGGCAGCACCAGGAGGCCCAACGGCATCGTCGTCGTGGTGGTTGTTGTCGTCGCCGTGGCCGCCATGACCGCCACCGCCGTGTGAGGGCGAAGGCCACGACGGCGTAGACGGAGGGCATGTCCCCTTACAGGCGGATTTGGGAGCACATTTCTCTTACAAATCAACAGAGAATGCCGAAAATGGTCCACAGTAGTCGGAAGACCGTCCCCAGACTATGTTTTGACTATTTCTGAAGATTCATCCTGTAGAGGGGCACGCCCCATTTAAAGCTGGTCCAACACTGGCGTTTGACGAGGAGTCGGGTCAAAGGCCTGCCTGAAGGCACATGGGACTAGAAGCATCGCGCGCGCTTCGCGCGCGCGCTCGAGGCCTGGCCGATCAACCGCATTCCGGGGCATTCGATCGTGTTGCGCGCTGTGTTGGGACAATGGACGCGCATCGTTGGACTTATCCGATGGTCCTTCCCCTGTGTATAGGGATGCGACCAAGGAGTCGATGCTATACGAGTGTCCGTTGGTAAAAGTAAGTGAGGAAGAGGTTAGCTACGCCTTTCCCAAGGCGTTGTCCTGAGAATTCCTATGGAACTCCTGAAGAATCCGATGGAATTTCTACAGAATCCCACGACTTGCGTTTGGAATCCAATGGATGTCCAAACAAAATATAAATGTCCTGAAAGTTCCGATGGATGCCTTGAAAAATCCTACAACATTCCGAAGGAAAAAATTGAATTCCCACACGAATCCGATGGATGACCCTAAGATTCCGCTAGATGTCCTACGGGATCCGATGGCTTTCTTTTAGAATCCTATGGATTTCCTCAGGACCCCCATGGATTTCCTCAGGACTCCGACTGATGTCCTAAGGGATCCAATGGATGTCCCAAAGAATCCTACGAACTTCCATTGGATTTCTAATGATGCCCCAAGGTTTCCTATGGATTCCTTACGACGTGTAAAAGGAATTCTTCAAATATCGGTGGGATTCTTTAGAAAAACCGTAGGAATCTTCAGGACATCCTACGGATGTACTAAGGAATCCTATAGATGTCCTAAAGATCCTACGGATTTCTGAGGAATCCGAAAAGTTACCTCAAGAATCTTATGGATTTCATAAAGAATCCGATGGGTTCCCTACGGGATCCAATGGATGTCCTAAGGATGAGAGAGCGCGTTTCACGGGCGCTCGCCTTGGGAACATTCGGCGGCGCGTTTCGAGCCGCGGGGGGGGGGGGCCCCAAACACTCGGCGCCGTCGATCAGAAACAGGGGGGACTCCCCTCCCCGTACCCCCCCCCCTGCCGAAATCCCCCCCCCCTCGGCGCCGGCGCCGGCGCCCGTGCTGGCGGCCGCCAGCAGCGCCGACGGCGGGGACGCAACGACGATGACCAGAGAAGGCCCAGGAGGAACGGGGGGGGAAACCCAAACCCCCCCCTCTCCCGCGCTGGCGCCGGCGCTGGCGCTGGCAGCGGTCAGCAGCGCCGACGGCGGGGACGCAGCGACGATTACCAGGGAGGGCCCAGGAGAGGGCACCACCACAAGCCACCCCACCATTACCACCACCATGACCACCACCGCCACAACCACAACCATCACCACAACTTACCTCCACCACCACAAACCACCACACCACCACCACCACAACCACCACCGCCACCACCACCCACCACCCACCACCACCACCAGCGCCGCTACCACTACGACCCCCCGCCACCACCCACCAGAGCCCACCACCACCACCACCAACAACACAAACCACCACGCCACTACCACCACCACCGCCACCACCACCACCACCACCACCTCAACCCACCACCACCACCACCACCAGCCCACCACACAACCACCACCACCACCACAGCCACCACCACCACCACCACAACCACCACCACCACAACTCACCACCACCACCACCACACAACAACCCACCACCATTACCACAACCACAATCTATCACACCACCACCACCACCACAACAACAACCACTTCCACTACCAGCCGCACAACACACCACCACCAAAACAAACCACCACACCACCACCACCACCACAAACCACCACACCACAACCACCACCACCACCACCACCACCACCACAAACCACCGCCACCACCATGGCTACAACCACCACCACCACAAAACACCACTCCACAACCACCACCACCACCGCCACCACAACTACCATCACCATAACCCCATAACCCACCACCACCACCACAAGCCACCACCACACCACCACCAAACCACCACCACCACCACCCACCACCACCACCACTATAACAACCACCACCACCACAACCCCAACAACAACCCACCACACAAACGCCACCACAACCATCACCACCGCCACCGCCACCACCCACCACCACCGCAACCCACCACCACCACAACCACAAACCACCACACCACTACCACCACCACCAACAACAACCACCACCACAACCACCACCGCCATCACAACAAACCACCACCACCACCACAACCACCACCACCGCCACCACCACCGCCACAACCCACCACCACCACCACCACAACCACCACCACAAACACCACGACAAACCACCACACCACCACCGCCACCACCACCACCACAGCCCACCCCCACCACCACCACCACCACAACTACCACCACCACCACCACCAGAAACCACCGCACCACCACACCCACCACCGCCACCACCACCACAACGTGCCACCACCACCACCACCACCACAACCACAACCACAACCACCAACCACACCAACACCACCAACACCACCGCCACCGCAACAACCACCACCAACACCACCACAGCCCACCACCAACACCACAACCTCAGAGAGGCCCAACAAACGCTCAAGAGGCGCCCAGGAGGCTGCAGAAATGCTTCTTCAGGAGATACATGATATCATTTTGGGTAGCGGTTGTTACCCGGGGGGGGGGGGGCGGTCAGGGCCGATGGGTAACCGTAACGGCGGCCGCGGCGCGCGCCCGCCAGGGTGCGTCCGCGCCATCGGCACACACATCAATTGCCCGCGATCGCTGCCACCCCTGTGCACGCGACAATGCCAAATGCACTCGTGCAAGACAACGCCGCCTGACTGCACCACAATGTTTCGGCGCACCACAACAGCTGCGTGCACACCGCCACCACGTCGCCCATGTACGCCGCAGTATCTGTGTATACTGCAGCAACCGTGTGCGCAACAACGCCTGCGTACACCACATTGCCTGCGTGCGCCAGCGCGCTTATGGCCCGCGCGCACACCAGCAACCATGTGCACCACAGGCCCTGCGCACGCCACAATGCTTCTGTGCACCACAACGCCTGCCTACAACAAAACGTGCCAACGGGCACATCAGTAGCTTGCGAACATTTTTTTCCTGCGGGGCCCGCCACGTGACCGCGGAAACCCTCACCACGTCGCCCGCGTACGCCGCAGTGTTTTCGTACAGTGCAACAGGCGTGTGCGCCACAGCGCCCGTGCGCACCACAGTCTCCTCCTCTGCCTCCTCCTGCGTTTGGTATTCCTCCCCATCCCCCATCATCCTCCCCCGCCGCCTTGCGGGGCTCGCCGCGAACTAAGGAGGCCCTCGGGGTTTGATATTCAAGATGTCGCGGGGGAGGCCATCCGCAGCTTGCTTCGAACGAGAAGGCCAAGAGGAGATTGGATGTCATGGGGAAAAAAAGGCAAAACTCGGGGGCGAAGCGGGGAGGAGGGAGGCGGGAGGGACTGGGGGAGGTGGGAAGGGTTGTTTTTTTGAATGGCACATGCGCACGTAAGAGAAAACAGCCACATCGTATCTCGGCGCGCCACCGCGCAACGAGAATGCCACGAAATTCGGCCCGCAAATGCAAACGAAAGCCTACGAGGAGGACGAGGAACGAGGGGGAGGACGAGGCGAAGGGGCAAGGGCGCCGCTCGGATAACCCCATATGGCCCAAACGGCCACTCTTATAATCCCAAACGCGCACAGCGCAATCCAGAGGGGAAGGGGGAGGAGAGGAGGAGGACGAGGAGGAGGAGGAGGAGGGGCAGAGGACGACGAAGAAACGGGAGGATGCTAGTAGGCAGTGGAGCAGGCGGAAGGAGGTAGGATTATGTTTTGCCATACAGCAGCTGCAGTCATGGCATCGTTCGACGTCGCCTCGCCTACGTCAGCGCCAATTGTAACAGACGCGGGAAAACCGTTGCGCCACCCAGAAATGGCTGCGAAATCCCCTGGCACCATTGCTTCCGGAGTTCCACCAGTAGGAAGAGCAGGGGGAAGGAACATAGGGATGTAGAAGAAAAACCACAATAGTCTGCGCACTGCAATAGCCTGCAGGCGCCACAAAGGGCAGGCGAGACCCGAAACATGCCTTTAGCACCACGCCATGCCTGTGAATTCGGCGCCGCAACAGGTGGGGAACCTGCGAACGCCACAACACGCTTGTGAGCACAACCCATGCCTTTCAGCACCACGCCATGCCTGTGAACACAGCGCCATACCTGCTGAGAGGAGGAGGATCCGCCCTCCACCCTCCGAAAACGGACGATCTTTGGCGTTACCCCGGGGGGGGGAGCACGGGTAGCAAGCGTTACCCGCCAGAGGGGAGGGGGGGGGGGGGGGGGAAAAAAACGCTCTCGAGAGACCCCCGAGAGCCTTCCGACGAGACCCCAAGAGGCATCCATTGGGACTCTGACCCAACACCATGGCACGGTGGCGGAGCGTCGTCGTCATCGTCGCCGCCTTCGCCCTCGTCCACGCTCCCCGCCGCCGCC